TTCGCTTTTGCCACGCGTCGAGTGATGGCGAGGTCGGGCCAAATTTCCCTTCATCAATACCCTTGTTGCATGACCAAACCTTTGTGATCAGCCTAGCCTAGCTAATCAGTATCAAGAGATTGCCCAACTAAAAATAGTTAGAAAATGTTATAATGTTGCAGCCATCTTGGAAACAGGTTGAGCAGCCACCACAGCAAAGAAAGATGATTCTCTTGCATTCTTGATGAAGGTCACAAATATACTGGATCAAAGTTTAGAAGCATCCGAGAAGTATACTTAGAGCTGATGATGAACCATTTGGTTTCAATCAATACAAAGAGAATAAATGAGCAAAATTGAAAGAAATTGGCAGCCTTAGTGCACAAGGCTCCTGCCAATGCGGGGTCTATGGAGGGACAGATGTACACAAACATAGAGAGGTTGTTTCCAATATTTGAACCCTGGTCACTCAGGTTCCAATGGAGCAACCCAACTGTTGTACAGTTAATATCTAAAATCTTGCTCTACTAAGGAAATTAAAAAAAAAATAGCAATACTCATGGTTGTTTTTTACCTTGTTTTAGTGTAATTTGGATTAGCTGAACCCTATGGCTGTGTAGCAGGGTAACCCTCACTCCTAGCTTCTATCTATTTTGACTTGCATTTCAGACATTATGGTTTGGAAACAACCTCTCTGTATGTGCAGGGGTAAGGCTGCATACATCTCTCCCTCCCCAGACCCCACATTGTTGGGAGCCTTGTGCACTGAACTGCCCTATTTCAGACGTTATGATACTTTCTTTGTATGCTTCTCACACCATTTCCTTGTGACTTTCAGATGCAGAGTTCATAAAAATATAGAAAGCAGAACAGAAAACAATGGCTATTTTGAGGCCCACTTTCCTAATGTTGTGTTTGGTTTGAAGGAAAAGGTAGGGAAACCTATACAATTCCCTACCTTTTTCCTTCAAACCAAACACAGAATTCACAAAACTAAGTGAAAAAAAATAAAATAAAATAACCCATTGATGTTGTAAATCCAATTCCTAGCAGCCTCTTCCAATCAGTCTTGCTATTGAGCAAAAAATAACTCATAGGCCAGGATCATCCCAAAGAGGAGTAGAATAAGCAGGTAAAATAGAGGTCATGTTTGAGGGGGAAATGTGACAAAATCATAAAAGACAGCCCAACTTCCATATTCTTTACCAGTTTGCCAAATGCCAACAAAAAAAAAATGATGGATAGCTACTCAACAAACCATGTAAGGTCATGCTAAAAACACAGAAACCAGTGAGGTATTTAAGAGAGGGAAAGAGTTTTATCAGTCATGTGACCAACCACAGCCCTGTATTAAATTCAGCCCCAGCAGAGAAACATTCAAAGCATACATCAAAATCAGGACACTTTACCCACTTGATACCAATCTTCACAGAAATATCTGCAGTGGTGTAAAGCCCTTTTTTCCTTCATTTTTTCCTTGAAATATCTCAACAAAGCTTCAAATTATTATTGGAAAAGATTGAGAAATACCACTCCAGATCTGCTACTCACAAACTGTTCCCACATCCCGACTCACAGAACACCACCGCCTTGTATTGGGAACATTTCCCCATGAATGACAAGGGAGATATTCCCAATACGCAGCTGTAATGTCCCGTGGGTAAGGATGTGGAAACACCTGGTGGGTAGCAAATCCTATCCCAGTTAAACGACGATGCCATAAATTGTATCAAATGTATCAGGTATGCACTTTCAATCATCAAACATTGCATAATGATAAAATTAGGAGGCACCATGTTTGAGATGTATAGTGTTAGATCATGTTGGAACATTGCATAATCACAACATTGCAACTAGACCTATTCAAGGGCCGGGTTTTGCATTTGGCCCATAAACATTTTACAATGGTTCTGATTGGGTCCATTCAAATTTTGGCAAAAGTTCACCCCGAGCTGTAGCATGGATTGATTGCAACATTGACCAACAACACAACTTAGGCAGTGTTTGGAAATGTGATTATCTTGTGACGTAGACCACAGTTTGGTCCATTCCACGAAATAAGTGGCATTCAGTTAGGCTGTAGCATGGACTGATCCACATTCTATATTGCATTTTCTCATCCACACCAAAAAAACCAAGGGTTGTTCCCTTCCGTGGCGGTGATTTTTTTAAAGATGATTTTATGCTTCTCATTTTACCCTATCATCTATTATTTCATCCAATAATTTTTATTAATTTTTCATCTTTTATCTATCTAATTAATATTTTTTATCTTAATGCTGTATTGTTTTATTAAAACTATATAATTTTATATAATTCCTATTACTTTTAATTTTTGCTAATTATATTTAAAAAGTAATACTCATAATTTTTTGTAATTATAATTAATTTTTATAAATTCTTTCACTAATTTATTAATTATTTGTATTATAGATAATGATATCGCATAATGCCTATGGGGGGTGTGTTGTGATTCAGTTCACCCTTTTTTTCCACAATACAAAACAATTCTCCTATTATGACGTGATGTGGATAAAAACTCATCAGCCAATTTCTCATCCACACTACAAAACACTTTCTTAACCCCCCATATTTCATGATCTTGCACCATCTCTCCACATTTTTCATTGGAATTCCCTTGACAACTATTGTGAGCAACACTAATTCTTTTTTTTACTTTCCTTACTGTACTTCCTTTTGTCCCTTTTAATTTCCATTTCTCTCCTAAATTTGAAACCATTTGTTCAACACAAACCCAATGAGTCAGAGAGAGAGAGAGAGAGAGAAAGAGATGCATCCCCCTCCCAAGAGTTGGTTAAGGGTAAATCTAGTATTTTAAAAGATTAAAATGTTATGCCAGACTAAAATATGGTATTTTCCATGAGGAAAATTAAAGGAGGGGAGGTATTTATACCTTTTTTTTTAAAAAAGGTTAGGGGAGTTTTTTGTGAGGATCAAAAACATGGGGAAGATTATTAAAAAAACAAGGGAGGTTTTTATATTTTATGCATACTAGTTGAGGTGTTCAACAAAAACCCAAAAACTGAACCAAACAAAAAGTTTTGGTAATCAAACCAATTGGTTTGATTTTGGTTTGGTGTTTCTTAGAAAATGGTGGTATATGTAAAATATACATATAATATATATAACTAAGAAATGAAAGAACCCAGCTGATTAAAAACCAAATCGATCAACCACTTGACCAATTGGTTTTGATTCATGGATTTTTATGAACCTATTAATTGACCGCGAGAACTCGGAAAAAATAAGTAGTCATTGCTTTGGGTCCAGATCTAACCCATTTATCCGATCACCCACATTTGTTACGACCAAGGTTTAAAGTATCGGAAACGCCAAGTGTATCGGAAAGATAATTTTAAGAGACATATTGGGATATGCCTTGGATATACATGCGTATCAGAGAAAAACTAAGATATGCATAGATATGCTTGGAAACATTATAAATACTTTAATAAATCATAAAAATACATCAATAACACTAAATATAAGACCTCAATGATGTGTATATACATTAAATTAATATATTTTAATGGTTTTATAAAAAAATATATTGTAGTTAATTATAATTTCATTAAAAATCCTATGCTCAACTATAATTTATAAATTATAATTCTTAAGTTTTAATGTTTTATGGGATGGAAAAACCCAACTCTCCTATCCAACCATAAAACATGCATTGGCACAACTTCTAAGTAAAAATATAATCAATAATTATTTATTATTTATTTCCAAAAATTATATAAAAATAAATATTATATAATATATTCAAAAAATAGTTATTAAAAAAGACATTTCAATTGCTTTGTAGATATGATAGATCATACATAGAATTATAATATATTCAATCATTGTGATCAAATGATAAAATTTAATTAATTAATTAATTAATTATTTTTTAATTCAAAAAATATAAAAAACAGTTATTAAATAAAAATTTCAATTGGTCTTTGGATATAATAGATCGTCCATAGAATGATAGAATTATAATATATTCAATTATTGTGATCAAATGATAAAATATAATTAACTATTATTTATTTTTTAATTCTAAAAATATAAAAAATACTAAAGAAGAAATTTCAATTGCTCTATGGATATGATAGATAAATCCATATATCTATAACATATTTAGTCTTTATAATCTGAGAAAAATTACATTTACAAAATTTTTATTAATTTATATTTCCCCAAATAGCTTCATGAAATTTCCATAAATTTATTAATAACACAAAAAAGAAATTATGATTTTGAATGTAAGAAATGTAGATCAACATAAATTTAAACATTCAAGAAAAAATGAAATCACAAGATATTATAAAAAATTGAAAACATGTACCTATTTTTGCCATATTTTTTTTTCAAAATTTGAAAAAAAAAATTAACGATTCACACTTGTTTCTTGCAAATTTTTGCAAATCTAGCACTATAGGAATGAGGTTTGGAGTTTTAGAGTCATTTGGGGTGAAAGAAGGCTTATTTCATGGTAAAGTTTGTTTTTCCCTTTTATATTTTTTTCCAGTTATTGATCGTATATTTTTCATTGATACGCTATTGATACGCCCCAATATAGGTCTGATACACATGAAAAAAAAGACAACTTCCGATTTCCAAACACACCCGATATCTATTTTTCAAAGATACGATACAATATGCCTCATATCAGGTATTTTTCAATAAATGCTGCTACATAGTGCCACTTCAACATTATGCCCATCAATAAGTATTGAGACTTACAAAAACATGCATTGATTTATGTGCACACATACCATTAAGAGAAACTTTATTTTAGCGCTTCTTCGTATGAATAAATATTTATTCATTCTTTAACATGGCGCTAATTGTAAATAAACGATTTCATTATCGAGGGAAACTATACCTAACACATTCTATATCCTTTGATCTATTGACATGGTCCCACCTTCAATTAGATGAAATGAATTTTTGGTGGGACCACTGCAATACATGTAAAATCATGATTTTCTGTTTTAGCCGGACGCTACGAGCCTACGGCACAGCAAAAGCCGCCTAACGCGAATAAGCACTGTCTCATAATCAGCCCTACCAGTATACGCGTAACGATTAACGAATTAACGATCTCTCTTCAAGAAGGCAACGCTTACTGTTGTTTGCTGAACGCCTGAACCGAATCATGGGTGAAGACTTGGGATCGAGTGCTACCGCCATCGACTCTTCGAACATAGGGTTTCAGGTATGCTTCCTCATCGTCCAAGACTTTTGCGCTCTCTCTCACTCTCTCTCCTCGGCAATTTTATTCATTTTTGGGGGCTTTGCAGCTCTTGAAGAAGTGTGGTTGGAAAGAAGGAACCGGTCTTGGTGTTTCCGAGCAGGTTCGTTTGGTCGATTCTTTCTTCCATTTCTTTTGTTTTGTCATTTACTCGATTTCTATATTGCTTATCTCTGGAAATTATTTGCTTCTCGTAACCCTAACCTTTGGAAATCACATGGTTCCCGTGCTCTATTTACGTTGCTGATTTGAATTGAAGTTGTAAGGTTAATAAGACTCAAACCAACAATTTCTTCTTAATTTGAATGGTTTGTTTGAGTTTCTGCTATTTCAGGGTCTTGTAAAGTGGAAACGTTATTTTTTCAATTGAATTTCTTGGTTAAGCTCTCATGGATTTAGAATCTCTCATTCTTCTAATGGTTAAGGTTTTAGGTTGCTTGGTTTATACCATTAATTGCCTCAAAGTATGCTATTTATGTAAAATTGTTTACTCCATTAGATGGAACCATAACCACACCCAGTGAATCCAGAACAAGGGAGTTAGGGAGGGAAGAAGACAAAAGTTGCAGGGTTTAAAGATTCTGTTGTATGTTTATTTGAGGGTAAACTCCCCCCCCCCCTTTAGTTTGGGCGGCCTATTACTTAACTCCCTAAATTATTTTTTTTTGTCAGATTCTCCCCCAAACTTTCACTCATTTATCACATAAACTGCTCTGTTAGCATTCCATCAAAGAAATGGAACATGCCCATAGACCTTGTCAGATATTTTAAAAACCCTAAAATGCCCTTTTCTTCATTTCTAGGATGAATTTACCTTTTCCCATTAGTATTATTAAAAAAATATTTTCAATCATGATCTTTTAAGAAAAGATCTAAACCATTAGAATGAAGCCTTAAAACCAGTCAATTGATCTTGAAAATCCAAGTGATGTGCAAAAGTATCAACTAATCTAAGCCATGGAAATGGAATGTAGATGAAATATTGGTCACTTACACATATAGACAATAATGGGCAATTTCGTAATTGCCCACTCATTGTTAAACCACCAGGGTGTGCAAAGTTTGGGGATAAGATAAAAAATAGTTAGGGAGTTAAGTGATAACCCCCCCCCCCCAAAAAAAAAAAAAAAAAGTAAAATGTGCATGCTATAAAGATTGGAAAAAAGACTAAGAAAACTTGGAAAATACAAAACCATAAGAATGAAAGTTAAAAAAAAAGTGAGTAAAGTTAAATTTAAAGCAAAACTATATATCATAATTCAGGCACTAAAGTGCAATTGAAATTTTAAGGCCAACCATGCTACATGGAATAAGGTTGTTGAGCAGTCAAGAAGCAACATGTCCAAAAAGTGATTGTGGAAAAATGTGTATGCTAAAATGGATGACTAGAAAAACTAGAAAGGATAGGATCAGAAGTCAATGGTAGAAACATAGGGGTGGCTCCAATAGTCGATAAAGTGAGAGAAAGTAGACTCGGATGGTTTGATCACATGCGTAGAAGACCATCAATAGCACCCATAAGAAGAAGCGATTTGTTGCAAGTTGAAGGGGCTAGAAGGGCCAAGGCCTTGGGGTAGACCAAAAAGGACGTGGGTAGTAGTAAGAAATAATTTAAGCACCAATAACTTAACATGGATATGGCTTTGATGATAATGGAATGATGGAATTGGATTCATGTAGCTAACTTCATATAGTTGGGATAAGGTTTTAACATGTAGCCAACTCTATATAGTTGGGATGAGACACTGAAGAGGGATGCAAATTGGCAAAAATGAGAGAAAGAAAAGGTAGAGATTTAAATCATGTTAAATACATCAAAGAGTCTTGATAAAAGATCAGGAAAGTTATTATTATTTTTTTTTTGAGAAAAGGCAAAGTAATTTTATTAAATACAACATATTCCCCAAGGGAAGCACCTTGGATAGGGATCAGCCAACCCTAAACAACTTTACAACTGCCAGAAATTCCTAGACCTCAACCGAGCCCCTAGTTCTGAAGCCTGGATCCCCTTTGCAGACAAAACCCGTGAGACCAACTTTCCAAATGAAAAAGAAATAAGCTCCTCCAATCTTTGGTAGCATTTTCAAATATCCTTTTGTTCCTTTCTGCCCAAATGGTGCTGATCACAGCAGTCGGTATAGACATCCACACACTACTGGCAAGCTTAGAGAGATCATGCAGTTCCCAGCTCCACACTCCATCATTGTTCTAGGCATATCCCAAACAAGCCCCAGAGCTGATAAATAATGACCCCAAATAACTGAGGAGATGGAGCAATATAGGAAATGGTGATTATTGTCTTCCAAAGCTTGACCATACATCACACACCCCTAATCCTGGATCTCCATCCCTCTCTTAGAGATTGACTTTGGTTAAACACCTATACAGAGCTGCTGCCCAAAGAAGAGCATTGATTTTCGAGGGGGAGATTGGATTCCAGATTCTGGTTGCAGGCACATCTACTAGGTTCCTGTCTGAAAGTTTAAAGGCAAAGGTTTTGACTAAAAACTGTCCATCTGCACTCCAAATCCTGCTCCAACTGTCTTCTTTGTTCAGGTCCAGAGACTGAAGAGAGATTAGCTCAAGCAACTCTGTAAATTCGACAAATTCTCAGTCCTGAAAATTTCTTCGAAAAGGACACCAAACAACAGAGCTACCAATTAACTCAAAGCAGTCTGCCGCAACTGCATCCTGGTTCTCAACTAGCTGAAACAACTGTGGGAATAGGTGAGAGAGGGCTGCTTCCACACCAAGGGTCTTTCCAAAAAGCTAGCCTGCCACCCTTTCCCAATTTAGGACTTAAACCTCTGCTGAACCTTGGGAAAATATCCATAATTTTCCTCAATAGGGAGCAGCCTAATGAGGGCAGAGATGACGTGGTTATCCAGTGTCCTCTATCAGTATTATATTTGGATGCAATTAAATCTCTCCACAATCTACCACTTTCCACTCCAAATCTCCAGATCTACTTCCCTAGAAGAGCATTATTGAAGTTCTTCACTCATCCGATTCCTAGATCTCCTTTATCCTTTGAAGCACACACTTGGTCCCAATTCACCAAATGAATCTTCTTCTTATCTCCTTCCACAGAAAATTTGCAACTTTTCTGTTCTTTGGGCCACATTCATCGGAATTGAAAAGAAAGAAAAATAGAATGCAGGCAAGTTGGACAAGGAGCTTTTTAAGAGGATGATTCTAATCGTTTCAAACTGGTTCCCAGATCAGAGCCGAGGTGCATTTAGCCCCCAAAGGAAGACCCAGGTATTTTGTTGGCAGAAAACCCACTTGACAGGACAGCACCTCAGCCAAAGCTTCTATATTTTCCACATTTCCCACTGGAAGCTACTCTTACTCCAATTGACTTTCAAACCCGCCACCACTTCAAACCAACTCAGGACCCCCAACATTACTTCTAATTGATCTTCCTTAGCATCCACAAAGCACAGGGTATCATCGGAAAATTGCAATAGTTGTACTCTTTCCCCTCCTGGAGCCACTTCAAATTCTTCCCACAACCTCTCCTCCCCTACATGAAGGATAAAATTAGTAAGGATTTTCATCACACAGATAAACAAAAGAGGGGGGAGGGGGTCACCTTGTCTTAGCCCCTTGGAACTTGTAAAGAACCCCACAGATTTCCCATTTAGCAAGACTGAGAGTTTAGGGGAAGTTATGCAAACTTAGATCCAATTTCTCCATTTCTGCCTAAAATTCATTCTGTCTAAAAGAAAGTCCAAACATCTCCAATTAACATGATCATAAGCCTTCTCCAAGTCCAGTTTACAAATCAGCCCTGGTGTGCCCTCCCTTTTCCTTGAGCCAATCAATTCATTTGCCAGCAAGACACTGTCCAACATTTGACTACCCGGCACAAATGCAAACTGATTTTGTGCAATCACACTATTCAGGACCTTTTTGAACTTCTCAGCCAAGACCTTAGCCAAAATTTTGTAGAAGCTATTCAATAGACTGATCAGCCTGAAATCATTAAATGGAAAACATATAGAGGATGCTAGTGGAGGAGGGATTAATAACTCTAGTAGTGCTAAAAAAATAAAGTAACATCATGGGAAAGTAAACACTTTAGACAACCTACAAAAGAGAAGACCTTTTCTTTGTATTTCTCCTAATTGGTGTATCCTCTGTAGAGCTCACGGTGAGGAYTGTTACCATCTACTAGTATCTTGTCCCTTTTCTGCAGACCTTTGGGCTTGGCTACTTTCGTTGTTTGGGGGTAGTTGGAGTCTACCAGCAGAAGTTCACATGCTCTTCAACCATTCTACCTTTTATTGGCCTACAAAAATATGGAGAATTATG